CCGTTTTCGGCAGAACGCTTGTCGAGGGATTGACTTCACTTGTCTCTTTGACGAGTTCGTAGCTTAGTGCAAGGAATGGCAAAGCTCACTGATGATGTTAACTACGATGCCGGCGAAACTTTTGAGGATGTATCAAGTCCAGTGTCAGATGCTGGGAATCATGACAACTATTTTGGCAGACGACTTCGGACTAGGTGCGTTCTAGATAGTTATCCTGACAACAAGACCAAGTTGCGACAACGAAGTCAACCCACTTGTATAAATCGAAAGGAGACTACGAACATAACAGAATCCACAACATCTTGGTCTTCATATATTCGATAAAATTGTTGTCTATCATAAAGCTGAGTCATGTAAGATCGCTTAATTATCGGAAAACCACTACCAGCCAATACATTAACCTATGAGAAATAGGGAGAGTAAAGTTTGTATTCAAGATCAGCAAATAGTATCAAAGCTTACTGCTAATTTATCGAGTTTTACAATGTATTAGTAGCAGTAGTAGTAATAATAATAAACAACTGACCAAAAGATGTTTTGAATGTTAACCTAAAGAAATGACCGAAAATAGCGGTTATATACCTCTTATATACATCTTTGTACATCTTTTATTATCCGTAAACGACGAGAAATGCAAAAAAAGCGTAAAATAACAGATAGAAATGTAAATATCGAGATTACTTTTGGTAATGAACAGATGGCCCTACAGGATATTTGCTACTGTCAAATATTGCTTGCAAAAAACTGATCATAATAATGTAGCATGTCAAATAAGTAAGTTATTTCTTTGTGGTTAATTCCATCTTCATTTTAGCATTTGGGTTTTAATTACTCCTATCAAAGGTAAACAAATCCATAATATAATTAAAGAGTGGGCTGTGGTCTTGTACATTTTAAAAAAGAATGATGGTAAGGAGATCACTTTAGCATCAAGACTAATGAGCCTTCATGCCTACAATTAATTAACACAGCCTATAAAAAAGTTGTATTCACTATATTTTGTTAAATTTGGTGAATGTTTAGGCGAATTTTTACATATTTATATGAATAGGCCGCATGCGTTCATTAAATTTTACATAGCCTTGAGTTCCTAAAATGAATTCCCATCACGAGTGGACTGGACTGCAGTTTCGACCTCGTCTCATCAGCACCACTAACGAGACCTAAACTCTGACATAATAGCCTCGACACGTTAACCACGTTCGAAGTCTGGAAAAACTTAATTATAACAGAGAATAAGTGATGTGATTAATAGTAACAGCAAATACAACTTTGCTTAATCGACAATCCCACTACATAAATATGCTATGAGAAAAAATTGGTTTTTCATGAAATTCCCGTCTGCCCTGTGATCCACTGACACTCGCAGAGATGTGGCATAATAATTAACGTCTCGAGACAATACGCTGTATTATCACGGTTAGAGTACGGCTGAGGGTGTTGATGAGAACACGACGGGCTAAAAACTGTATTCCAATCTTGCCTGGATGAAAATACCTTTGTGGAAACAAGGTATATGAAATTCAATGTAAGCATGAGGCCTACTCATATCACTGAAAAAAAATTCACTACCCGTCCTTCATACTCGTAAACGAAGTAGATTTCTATATAAGATCTACGAGAGCCTTAAAAACCTACCTATAAATGAAAATCATTAAAGCATTCGCTTGCCATTCTTGTATTTGGGTATGTAAGAAAAGATTTAAAAAATTACTGGCGATATTTTTACAAAGGACAAAGAGATACTCAAAAGGTAACAAATGAGACTTGTATAAATAACACACGAAAATAGCGTCTCGCATAAGAGCTCATAGAAAATCCATCTATTTGACAAAAAGCCTGAGTACTATAGGATAATCGGATACTTTTAAGACACAACAACCAGATTATGTTCAATTGGGAGCAATTAAAAGAAAACAAACGACATCTTTGTACCAGAAATTTTTCCAGAAGAATTTAATAGACTTGGACTGATAAAACCTGATATCAGCATACTGGTCTAGTTGGTTATTTAAGATAAGCCAGATAAATTTAGGTATGTGTGCCTTAGCAGTTTAAAGAGTCGTCACTTAGTTAGCCACCCATATCATCTATGGCTTTGCTCAATAGAGAGTTAAAATGAAAGTACTTTGATGAATACGATCATGATAATAACATGTTTTAAAGAAATTATGACATTGTGGAGCCTCCGGGGTTGAGATATTCAAACAACATAGGTTGTTGCATAAGTTATTGATGACAGTCATCCTTTAATGTGTTACACAGGTCCCATTTAAATTGCATGCAAAGAGCAGTTCTGACTGGAACTAAGCTAAGGTCATTCAGTAAAATTAAACACCTTTATAGAAGCTATG